CCCCTGATTGTCCCCCACCCACACAACCCCCCCCCCCCCCCCCCCCCCCATTTATAATGGACATGCTTTTGTTTGTCTTGTAGACTCAGCAGGTGCAGAAGGCCATGGATGAGAAGAGATTTGAAGAGGCCGTGCAGCTACGTGGAAGGTGCATTTGCTACATATTGTTTGTAACTTGTAGTGTGGCTAATTACTTTTTGTTGTTTGACTGTAGTTTAACTTCTTTCGCCCGAGTAGCTTGTTCTCTACTGTTTAGAAGTTTGGGGTTGGTAAGATTTGTTTTAAGTCTCTTATGCTCACCAAGGCTGAATGCATTTGATTAAAAAAATACAGTAAAAACATGAATATTGCTAAATATTATTACAATTTAAAATAGCTGTTCACTATTTGAATACGTTGTAAAATGTAATTTATTCCTGTGATGCAAAGCTGAATTTTCAGCATCATTAGTCTTCAGTGTCACATGATCCTTCAGAAATCATTCTAATATGCTCATGTGCTGCTCAAGAAACATTTCTGATTATTATCAACATTGAAGAACGTTGTACGGCTTAATATAGTTATGGAAACAGTGATGCATTCTTTCACGAATTGAATGTTGTATATAGTTTGAGCATAACTACAGATACAACACGGATCTCTTATGAAATATAATAATAACACTGACGTGTTTGTGTGTAAATGCAGGAGCTTTGAGAACAATCTGAAGACATACAAACTGCTGGCTCATCGCAAACCAGAGTCTGAGCTTCCAAACGTGAGTGTTGTATCTGTACCTGGTGATCTTCTACTAAACACCTCTGCTGACTGACATCAACATGCTGTTGGACCAGACTTACTGATTCACAAGCCCTCACTACATGCTGTGAGACAGGATTCCACCCCTAGCAGATGCTTCCAGAGGAAACCAAGATGAATTAGTCCTGTCGCACATCCTGTGCGAATATTTCTGCTTGTGGATAGCTATTTATAGCTCTATTCTCTAGCTATTATTATCCCAATGTCACCGAATCCTTAAAGGGCCTTGAGTTGTGTTAGCTTGTTTTAATGCTTCAAAACTAACATCAGGCAGCAACACTATTTTTTTATTTTTATATTTTTTAGTTGACAGTTTTCCACCAAAAGGCTGTTTTTTCTTTTGTACCTTTAATGCATATTTATGCAAATGAGCTCGTTTATGATTGGTTACCCTCCACACTACTTCACACTGTTGTTAATCAGTTGCTAAATAATAGGCTTGATGTGTAAACATGGGCCATATGCTGATGAATGTATGTTTGCGCTGTCAATACCATGGTGCTTTTGTGGTGAATACAAGCAGCTTCTGCAGCTAAGATTCCATAAATTGTCTATGTGAAAAAATGAAATAATTATAAATAATTAAATTGCATAATTACAGAAGTTTTAGTAACTGATTGTTCTTCGGGGTTTATTTTATTTAATTTAAATTAATTTACATGACTAGACATTGATGATTACGTTTTGCACATAGCAATTTCCCAGCACTTTCTACCTTATTATATATTTTAGAGCTAGACACAAATGGAAAAATGTATATTGAAGTATTTTTTATTATTTAAAAAATATATATATAATTATTTATTCAGTTTTTTTAAATTATTTTTTAAAGATTTTCGTATTGACCTGACCAATGAATTTACATGACTAGTCGTTCATGAGTATGTTTTGCAAATAGCAATTTCTCCTTTTTATGTTTTTATTTTTTTATTATTATAATTGTATTTTATTTTAAAGAGTTTTCCAGGTTTATAAATCACTACAATTCTCCTATATCTTACATCCAGAGTTTCCAAGACCATGAGAACACGATTCTCAAATAATTACAGCTAACATTTATTATTATTATAAACTATTTTAGCTTATTTTTGTTTTGTCCTATTTTGCATAATTTTAAGCCATCTTTGGGCAGTTTTCTGAGGTCCCTAGGGAGTCCCGGCTCCATGTTTGAGAACCACTGATGCATAGTACTGTATGTTTAATGTTGCTTTTCTAAAAGCCTTTTGTAGACCAGAAAACAAGAGTCTTGAATGGCAAAGCTGCTGCATCACATTCACAAAAGTCAAACAGCAGAAGTGTCCAGAAGTGTTTAGTCAATAATCATTCTCTGCTCTGGGCTGTGCGTCGAGTTAACGAAAGACCACATTACCCTGCACCGAATGGAATGGAAAACAGATTGATGAACCAGCCACAGCTGGTTGGAAACATTGTGCAATTCTTAATAGGCATTGAGTGGTCAACACAAAAACACGATGATGATCAAGAAATACCAGGCCTCAAATATATAGACATACCAACTGGTTATATAAATGAATATGGCCATTTTTTATTTGCTTTGTCAGGCTGCATATATCCAGCAAGATTTACAGTAATCCACGAGGACACTTGCTTTTTTTATTTTTTATTATAGACAACCAAACATAAGTCAGTAATATAGCTGAAGGCTCATGCTAGCCAACGCTCTGCTGTATTAGGAGAAGTGGATTTAATGTAAATTATTGACATGTTATGTCTTCATCCCTCATTCAGAGCAATTTTAACGTGGCTGTGTTGAACGTGGGCGCCCCCGCCGCCGGCATGAACGCAGCCGTGCGCTCTGCTGTCAGAGTGGGCATCTCCGAGGGACACAAAATGTTCGCTGTCAGTGATGGGTTTGAAGGATTCTATAAGGGGCAGGTAAATATTTCATCTCTAAAATCCCATATTTAATAACCATCCAGCAGGTTTTAAACTCAGTGGCTTATGGGAGACATTCAGTAAGTGATGTAAAACAAGAACCGCAAACAAGCTTCACACATGTGACCCTGGAGCACAAAAGCAGTCTTAAGTCACTGGGGTATATCTGTAGCAATAGCCAAAAATACATTGTATGGGTCAAAATTATCGTTTTTTCTTTATGCCCAAAATCATTAGGATATTAAGTAAAGATCATGTTCCATGAAGATATTTAGTAAATTTCCTACCGTAAATATATCAAAACTTAATTTTTGATTAGTAATATGCATTGCTAAGAACTTCATTTGGACGGGTGAGAAAACTGACTTATTGCACAAGGATGCATTCAATTAAAGGTGATTTTCTCAATATTTAGATTTTTTTTGCACCCTCAGATTTTCAAATAGTTTTATCTCAGCCAAATATTGTCCTATCTTAACAAACCATACATCAATGGAAAGCTTATCTATTCAGCTTTCAAGTGTTGTATAAATCTCAATTTAGAGAAATTGACCCTTGTGACTGGTTTTGTGGTCCAGGGTCACATATGAGCAAAATCCTGTTTCGCTTGGGCCCCATGAGGTAGACTTTCATAATGGCAAATCCAAAATATCACGTCATCCAGTATCTTATGTAATTGCAGTCCTTATTACACAATATTTTAATGTAGATAATTCGAGTATAGTTGAGGATAAATAGAAGGATGGAGGATAAAAGCTTAGATTTGTTGTTGTCATCCTTTGTTGATGTTGATGATTTCTGAAGGATCATGTGACACTGAAGACTGGAGTAATGATGCTGAAAATTCATCTTTGATCACAACAATAAATTGCATTTTTAAAAAAAAATATTAAAATAGAAAATGGTTATTTTAAATTGTAATATTTCACAATATAACTGTTTTTACTGTATTTTTGATCAAATCAATGTAGCCTTGTGTGCATAAGGGAGTTTTAAAAACATCTTACTTCTGAACGGAAATGTATATTTATATTTAATTCATATGTTCACATGCACACAAGTTTTGTTGTTTGCATATTTACCACACACTAAGTAAGAATTACTATATTTTTACAGGACACATATACAAATGCTGTTTTGTGTAGCATTACTAGCACAAGCCTCTAGGTTACAGCAATTATATACTGCTCTTTTAAATGGCAGGCTCACATCAAGTTGCTCTAATTGTATTGCTTTAGTAATTGCATTAAGAGCAGGAAGTACTCGGCACATGAACACGTTTAACTAAAGTAGACGTTGAAAACAGCACAAGCAGTGGTGTCGCTCCAGCCCTGCTCTGCTGCAGGACATGACAGGATTTACATAAACCAATTTACCCCTGCAGTACCACTCTGTGCTGATACGGGGCGATGGCTAAGAGCTTTCGGAGGAATCAAGATAAACACTGAGCAATTAATTACATTACATGGGCTTGGTCCTTAGATTAAGACACAATCCACTAATTATCTTGTTGAACAAGCTCAAGGAGGATTACAAACTCAGTTAGAGAAAGCAATGTCTCATCAAATCCATGTGTTATTATCAATCAATCAATCAATTTTTTTTAAATAATGTTTTTGAATTCTTATTTTCTCTCCAGCCCTGATGCATTGAGAGACTTGTTGAGTTATTTTTGGTTAAGAGAGTCTCATCCATAGCGGAGTTCTCCATTATGATCTCTTTAGCCAGTCTAATCCAATTTAGAAAGCACATGAGTGTCAATCACATTTAAACCATTTGGATTTATATTTGAAAAACTACACTAAAAATAAATATTACCGTAAGTCATCATATGGGGCACTTTTGACAAAGACAGCAGAATAATGCTGCCTTGTAAGACACCTTGTAAGAATAAGTACTTTTAAGTATAGACCCTTGAAAAAGTATACTTAAGCATACATTTAAAAAGAGTACTTAAGTGTAAGCAATGATGAAGTTGCAATTTAGACCATTCAAATATATGAACCTTAAATATAATACTGAATAACACTGTTAAAAATTATAAATGAAGTACTTTACATGCTCTCTAGTATGTTAGTCAACACATCAAGTGTACTTCTTTAAAGCACAACATATTAAAACAATGATTTAAAATGCACTTTAACGCAAAACTTTTAATTTCACATTACAAAGTACACTTTTTAAAAGTACGTTAAGAAACAGACATGAAAGTGTACTCTAAGTACACTTCAGTTTAATTCGATTTCATTCATATTTTATTATAATTTAAAAAAAATTTACTTTTTTGTATTTGAAGTACACTACAAGTACACATTCAATACAGTTAAGCACACTCTTTTTCATATCCATGGACATTTCTGTCATGTTAAATATAAAATCTAAATATAAGTTAAATATATGTGAGTGTGCTTTGTAAGCTCATTTAAGCATCGAGTTATACTTGTTCTCAGACACGTAAACATGTCTAACTCATTAACTGTGGTTTAGTCACTAATGCAGCTCATGTGAAATATCATTTGTGTGGTGTGCTGACTTGCTGCCTGTCTCAGATTAGTTACTTACGAGGTTTCTGTTCATGTAAGATGGTCTCTTAGAGGACAGCTGCCCATGTAGTGATCTAAGCTGCTCACTCACATTTTGGAGTTTTAATGCACTCTTAGGAAATTTTTGTTGCAACACATTTTTGATCCACTATGCTCTCCTTTCTCAGATAAAAGAGATCAAATGGGCAGATGTAGGTGGATGGACGGGTCAGGGTGGATCCCTCCTGGGAACTAAACGGTATGTATCTTGTATACAAAGTTTATGCTGCATGTTTATATACAGATTTTAGTAATGCAGATGATTTTGCATGCAATGTGCTATACTTCTCAATACCTATATATTCTCAAATTTGCAGAACACTTCCTGCAAAGCACATTGACAAAATTGCAGAACAGATGCAGAAGTATAACATAAATGCATTGTTAGTGATCGGAGGATTTGAGGTAGGTCTTCCAGCCTGGGCTTTAGGCATTTTAATGTTTTATCTTGCATTTTGTTTCTCACATGAATAACTTAAAAAAGTGATGTGATTTGCTGTAAATATTTTATATAGTATTTTCAAATTATTTTAATATAATTTTGTATTTATGTAAAATATAACCACACAATTAGGTAACACGTTACAATAAACTTAACCTTGGTTAACTACATTAGTTCACATGAAATAACAATAAAAAAAAAAAGATTCTAAAGCAATAATTAATCATAATTAGTTAATTTCAGCATGTACTAATACATTTTTTAAATCTTTATACAAAAAAAAAAACTTGTATCCGTTAATATTATTTAATGAACCTGAGCTAATGCAAACTAACAATGAACAGGTGTATTTTAATTAACATTAACAGAGATTCATAAATACTGTAACAAATGTATTGCACATTGTTAGTTAATGCATTAGCTTAGTTTAAATAAGAAAGGTTATTGTAAAGTGTTACCCATAAATATTATAACATTATTAACAATAAAAAAAACATTTATTTTAGATTAATATTAAAACTATAATTTATTTTGCTAATAAACTATATAAATTATTATTTTTTTTTATTCTTAATTTAAAAAGACACTGTTTTGTTAACTTTCCTGCCCTCTCCATCATGTTTTCCTATGCAGTATCACCTAAAGTTTCCCGTGCTCCTGTTCTTTTCATAATGAACATCCAAAAGCATTCAGAAATGGTGAAAATCACCTTAGCAGGCACCGGTTCATCTTTCAGCCGTTTGAATGAACAACATTAACATTCACACAGCTGAGATGACAAATGGCGCCATTAAAGTCGGAACAATGACCCACAATTTCAGAATAGCTCTCCTGCTTTTCTAAAGTCATTTCATGTTTTGAGTTGAGGCTCATCTTCTCTCTTTCTATACAGACATCCTCAGAATGTGTGTGTATGCATTTTACGCAAGTGTTTCAATTTGAAGTGTGTGTACGGAGTGGATCCTCTGTCTCATGCTCTCCGTCGTGATGGCCATGGCTTTCCACTCGGTTCCTTCCTCGTCTGTCTCTCCCATTCCCTGTCTGTCCCCTCATTCCATCCCTATTCCCTGCACTGTTGGCGGTTCACTAAATATCCAGCTCTGTCCTGCCCTGCAGGCCTTCCTGGGGATCATGGAGTTGTTAGCAGCCCGCGCGACTTTTGAGGAGTTGTGTGTGCCAATGGTCATGGTGCCGGCCACAGTCTCCAACAATGTGCCCGGCTCAGATCTCAGCATTGGCGCAGACACGGCTCTGAACGCTATCACTTTTGTAAGTGAGGCACCACCCTCCAGCCAATCACATCAGAGGCTCTTGTCTTTTCTTTGCAAGCCAATCAAGGAGGCTCCGCCTTATGTTTACCAGCCAATCACGTCAGACTCGGCTACCAGAGCAGCAGTAGTTTCCAACTTAAAGCTGCGGTCACATTTACCGTTGTTCGGCTTATTTTCGCAAACAAATCTAGTCACAATTGAGAATTTTGTGCAGCAGGTTTCATATCGGGTTCAAGTTCAAATTGGCCAACAGAAAGATACTTGGTTTGAAAGTGACTTCTGTGTGAACTGTGCTTCATAAATCACTACACAATTGACAAGAGACTATGGATTTTTCTTTGCCTGCAAAATGTCGCCAACATTCTGCTAATGTGACCGAATCTTTAGACAGGCAAATCTTTAGATTCCTTTGCAGTCAGTCAAGTTACTCAACTTGTGTGTGAAGGCACATCCTAAGGGAGCTGGTTTCAGACAGGCATCCAAGGCACCATAATATAATGTCTAATGAGCTCAAATAAATTCAAATGAGATTTAAACATCAATTTAGCGACTGCAGTGCTAATTCCTCATTATAGATCTAGTTAAAAAAATGAAAACTCACATATGTCGCCTTCAACAACCAATCACATTAAGGTGTTTTAGTAGACAGGGCATGAGTAACAATTTCATTAACTTCATTAAAAAAAAAAACATGCAAAGATTATTTACGAAATTATTAAAGGGGTGGTTCACTGGTTTTGCAAACACTATAGCAGTATAACTGATGTAGGCTTATGTTTTATTTTTAATTTTTTTCCTTTTTATTCAAAATATTTCCAAATGTGTAGTCTAAACTACATCAATATCTCGATTTTAAAATATGTGTAAGTAAATACATTTTGCACCTTTATAGATTATGTTATTTGATCAATAAATGGTGATGGGCAAAGTAGACTAATAGTGTAATCTATTAACAAATAGGCCTATGGGTGTCATGCCATAAAATATTTTTAATATGACTGACTTTGTATTAGCCTACTTAACACTTTCATTTTACAGAGAGCAAAGAACTTTTACATTAACAAAAAACATTTTCATTCAGTCTAGCCAGAGTTCAGGCACTCTCAAAAACTCCCATTAAAATCACTGAAGCTGTTTACACTGTGAAATGAATATCTTACTTACATTCGTACGCACATCTGCACGTTGTTGTTTCTGATGAGAGAATTCACCATTCACAGATAATTCAGTCATCGAGCAAGTGAACAAAACACCGCGTTTCAGCGGTGACTCATCTGCACGTCTCTGATTGGCCATTGCATTCATAAGCTCAACAGAATCGTGTGTGATTGGTTATAATGCAGCGCTGTACAAACGCGTCTGTCGGCTCAGCGCCAGCCAAAACGCAAACGTGGATTTGAATTTAGCAGCTGATGCTGTGCCGCACTGAACGATCTAATCACACCGGTGTGATTGCATCAAATATAAAAATATTTTTCGGCTATTTTTTGTCTTTTGGAAGCTGAATTCAAAACCCACTTGGCTCAGAAATCTTTGAATGGGCATGACGCCTCTTGGGTAGGCCTATGTTTTTTATTTGTTGTTGTCTCATACTTTTAGATACGCTGTTATTTGTAAATGCTACTGCTTATGCTAGCTTTTAATATACGGTTTTATACTGATTAAAACTTTTAATACAGTATGGTAACTGCATGCGTGTCCATGTTTAACGCTTCTCATAGCTATGTGAAAATAAGTGTATAATTGTAACAGTTCATTGTTGGTGCTGAGCTGAATGAGAGAGAGAGAGAGAGAGATGCAGAGCGTGTGCAGAGCAGGGGACGCGAGGAACAGTATTATGAACCGCTGCTTTAGAACATTGATTTTGAAACTTGAGAATCCATTAGAATCGTTAGAAGACAGAATCGTGATTCATATATGAATAGATTTTTACGTGCACCCCTAGTTTTCTCTTCCTCTTCTCTAAAGCAGCGCAGCATGGCCTCGCCCCCTTTGCTGTCTTTTCCCGGGGGCGGGGTTTATCTGGGTTTGTGATGTCACGAACCCGGGAAGTAACTCGTTGTAGTCCCTACCAGACGTTTTTTTAGGCATTAAACTGCCAGAATTTTAAAAGACGATATCTCCGTTTGCATTGAACTTTCATCTTCGTAACTTTGCAGATATTGTTTATGCTCAAACAGCAACATTACACACTAACTAACGTTAACAAAAGTGAAATCGCAATCAACCACCCCTTTATTAAGATATGTCTGGGCCAAATTCAGCTTCATTTTCTTGAAGCAAAATATTATTCCTTATTGATTTGGGGGTGAAATATGACCTGGTCATGTTCTTAGTAGTTTTGTGAGCTTTACATTGAAATATTTCTACACTGAGCATTAAAGTTTCGGCTGGTAAACACAAAGCCGAGCCGTTAGCTGACAGGTAAGTGGAGATGACATGATGGCGGAATGTTTGCAGCTGTGCTTTTTTTGTGGCTGTCATGTGACTGAGCCTGTGCTGTGCTCACACGGCATTAACCCATCATAACAGATCGCTCATCCCGGCTAACACTGGCGGAGCTAGAGTCTGCATAGTTTCTTTACATCCATGGTTTAACAAACCTTACTAAAGCACAGGCTACTGCCAGTTTTTCATAGTTCACCTGAAACCCTCATGTCCTTACAAAGTCAACTTTTTGTTGTCCATGGAACTCAAATGCTAAGTTATTTTGATATATATTGGATGCTACAAAATTGAATGGAGACTAGGAATAAAAATAAAAAGTAACCCAAGATAAAAATTAACATAAAAGTAGACCATGTGACTTAAGGCTCTGTACTGATACGAATTCTATAGTGCACATGATACCTTTAAATTACTCATTTTAGTTAAATCGTGGTTATGTTGTACAAATTTGTTCCTTTCTAGTTAAATCATGGCCACAATTGAACTAAAACAAGTGAACAAATTAAAATGTGGCCATAGGAATTCATTCTTAAATACATACAGTATATCGATATGTATTCAACGATATCTTCCCTTCTTCTCCCAAAGCTCCCAAATATAATTTTCGCATACACATTTACACAAAGCGTCAGTAGCCAGATTTGTCTATTTTTTTTTTTATTGATTATACATCTTTATTTGAGTTTCCTTTTATTTTGTATTATTTTGTATTTCCTTATTTAATAATATATAAGTATTGTCAAATAAGTAAGCAGTAAACTGCCAAATTTCAATTGTTTCATTGCTCTCTTCATTTTACAAAGATGTATGATGTAAAAGATGCAATATTTTGCTATATACTCCTAGTCATGTATAGAAACAAAGGGCATATTTTTTGCAAAATAACAAAAACTAAAAACAAAAAAAAGTATTTTTAAGGGATGTCATCACACACCATTTTTTATTGGCAAAAGGCCAACTGGATGGAAGAAGCAAATTTCATGGAAGAAAAAAAAAAACACAAATAGCACAAATAGTGGATGGAAACTTAGCTGCAGACGTCATACCATGTTTAAAGATTTTCAGCAAAAACCCTCACATTGCGTGACTTCACAAGCTTTAGAATATAGTGCAATATTACTATGCCATTCTGGAAAACGTTTAGTTTTCATGGAAAAAAACAACAGGGGTAATGGCATGAGGGTGAGTATAGTGACAGAATTTTCTATTTTGGGTGAATTGACACATTTAAACATACTCACACTCACAATTTAGTAAGCAAATCGTATGCAAAGACCAGTCGGAATTGAGTATGCCAGTGTTACGAGGGCGTCATCACTGTCAGTTTCAGTACACTATCACTGTTAATGTGTGGACTGAGTCATCTTGCTGTCTCTATGTCTGATAAGAATGTGCAGAATCCCTGCCGTCTCGCTTCAGTGTCTTTGTGCGTGTGAGTGCGTAAGTCGATCCGATCCCATCCGTACCCCCTTCCTCTTCCCCTCGACTCGCAGTCAGAAGCCATGGTGGCCATCACACGGTGGGTGTCCCATCAGCAGGGTCCACTCCTGCACCAGTACTCCCCCTGCTGGTCTAACGTGTGCATTGTTCTGTCCCCTGTGGTCCCCTGCTGTTTTGTGCTGACCTGCCAAAGGCCTTAGAGTGTCTGCTGCAGCTGTATGAGGCTCGGTCCAGCTATGAGGAGTTTTGCATCCCGCTCTGTATGCTGCCTGCAACCATTAGTAACAATGTGCCGGGCACTAACCTTAGTATCGGGGCAGATACGGCCCTCAATGCCATTGTGGAGGTAAGAATGTAAGATAAACCTCATTCCTGTCTGAAAAGGAGTCATTCTTTGGAAACAATATTAGTTCTACCCACAATACTTGAATTGATATCATTCTAATTTGAATTTGTGCCAAACTTGTTAAATTCACATGTTTTGGGGTTGAATGTTACGGGGTTGAAATTGCAAAACGTTTAATAAAAGTAATAGCTTGCAAATACCACATTATTTGCAATCAGTATTCTAGTTCGTATGTGCTTAATATGAATATTTTTCGCCATAACTGAGTTGAACTGTTGAGCCTGACAATACTGCATAAAATGATATGATTATATAATCTTTATTTTACGTTATAAATGTTTTACATCTTAAATTTAAATTATAATTTGAAAATGGTAATGCCAAGTCTATTAGATTGACATTTTGGGGTTGAAATTACAAAAGGTTTAATAAAGGTGATGGTTTGCAAATATCAAATTTGTACAATCAGTATTCTAGTTTTAATATTTTTCCTCATAACAGAGTTGAACTATTGAGCCTGACAAGGCCAAAAAAACACATTGAAATACTGATGAAGATAAAGCTATCTCAGTGTGAGCCACCTGGTCAAAAATAATGATGTTATTCACTTAAATATGATGTGAAACTATTATTTTTAAAGGGGAAAACACGGTGATGGACAAATAAAACATTTTAGGGGGAAAATAAAATATTTTAGCAGAATGTTCTTTTTTATTAACAAATAAAATAATGCATTCATATAAAATGACACATCATAAATAATAATATTAACATTATAAAAATATTACACCTAAATAATATTATTATATTTATCACTTATTCTATATTTTATGTAACATTTTTAACAGAGGCACACAACTTGTGGCTGATATTCCTATTAAAAACAAAAATTAAAAGTTTTATTATCCATTAAAAAGATTAAAATGTATCAAAAATTGTGACTGATTTGATAATAGCAGTAGTACTTGAGAACACACACAATGGCACAGTTTCCTGAGAAAGACTCAAAGATACTCAGTAATAAAAACATTCAGATGGTTTAGATGGCAATATTTTTGGAATAACATATGCAGTTTAGTATGAGGAGCATTATTGTATATCATAAATTGTTTTGTCAGTCTGAAAGGTGCTCCTAAAAGCCCATATTTAGTAGAGTTTACCTTCCCAAAGCTCTCTGTGAACGTAAACTAATTTATCTTGGCTTAGATTTACTGTCATGAAAAGTAAATATTCCATGTCTCCAAACTGGTTTGTGTTCATAATAGTAAGAAAATATTTTTTTTTTTTAGTTAGAGTTAGTAAGAAAAAGTGGTTCTTGTTGCATGGCATGTAATGTATCTGGCATGACAGTGATTCAGCAGGTTGAAGCAAGATTTATAGCATTACTCAAGACACGAAATGACTAAACGTGTATGTGTTTGTCAGACATGTGACCGTATAAAGCAGTCTGCCAGCGGAACAAAGCACCGCGTGTTCATCATCGAGACCATGGGAGGTTACTGTGGTTATCTGGCCAGTGTTGGTGGTCTGGCAGCTGGAGCAGATGCTGCATATATCTTTGAGGAGCCGTTTGACATCAGAGAACTTCAGGTTACCAGCGCACACACACACACACACACACACACCGCTAAAACGCTACTGTTTTAGTAATAAAATTATGCAACATTATTCATAAATAATTACACATAAGGTTATATAATCTTAGTGCCTGTTATTAAACAATAAACATTAGCGCCATCTGTTGGTTAAATGAAGAACCTGTTTCTCTTTTCTTCAGTCTAACGTAGAGCACTTGACAGAGAAAATGAAGACCAGCATTCAGAGAGGACTAGTCCTGAGGTATCTGTCTATCTATCTGTCTATCTATCTGTCTATCTGTCTATCTGTCTGTCTATCTGTCTGTCTATCTGTCTGTCTGTCTGTCTGTCTGTCTGTCTGTCTGTC